GAAATATCTAGTTCAGCCGTGACGGTACATTAAACCTCATCCTCCGTTATTTCTCGCTAACCTTTGATATCACCAGCATAAAGTAGTATCGGGGACTCAACGATTCGTTCACATTTAAGGTAAACCGTAGAGGACCTATAACAGTATTTTGGTGGTCCATTTAGTTCTAGTTTCCGTAAGGGTCATTTACAGTTTGTTCTCAATTTCTGTTTACAATCTACCAGATTTCTTAATTGAACACACATCCCAAACTTGGGAAATTATAGGGAGAAACCGAAACACGTAAAGTTATGCCATTTTATGTTGGCGATTCACGGTATTTTCCCTAATTTTGTGCAACATTTGGTAACGAAACGTTTTTGATTTTGACATCCACTCTTTTTACAGACTTGTTGTGTAAACCACCCTTCTTGATTTTTGTACTTACTCTTTTCAACATCATTGCTTTGAATAAATACCTTTCATCAGATTATTGGAATTGCTTTGGGAAATGGTCTCTTTTTGAGATGCAAATATGTATTTTTCTGTGCCAGACCTGAAGACAGACTGTCATTTTGTTGGTATATATGTAGAGAAATGAATGTTTGTTAGTCACCTGATGTTTCAATAAGTTTATAAAACTCACCTGCGTTTAATTGTGGAATCGATGGACTACAACTGACAATGGTGAAAGTATAACTTAAAAAAATTGAAAAATCCTCGAACATGGATTGTTTGTTAACAAATGATCAGCTCGTGGTCGATGACGTTCACGTCCATACACCATTAAGAAGCTGTGGCCGTGGCTCAGTCATGTGTAACATGATCATAATTTAAACACACATGCAGCACTTAGGCAAGCCCTCACCTCTTCTACAGTAGGGCAAATTTTAGGTGAGTTATAGAGAATCTTCTACATACTACGTGGCCACGGGAATGGTGGTAACTACCAGGTGATATTTGCTGGCAATTTTCGTGAAAGTGAAAATCTTGGCTTAGGCGATGCACTGAACTCTTGCCACAGGCCTAAAAGAAGAGCCTGGTACAAGTGAAAGGCCTCTCTGAAGGATTCCTACAGTAGTTCTTAATTGCCATGGAGAAACAAATGCAATCCTATGTTTGAATTGACAGGAGAAAAATCCTCGAACATGGATTATTTGTTAACAAATGATCAGCTCGTGGTCGATGACGTTCTCGTCCATACACCAATAAGAAGCTGTGGCCGTGGCTCAGTCATGTGTAACACGGTCATAAACGAATTACTTGGTAAAGAAAACATTATGGGAGATATGTTAGTACAACTAACTACGAATGAGGTTCCTGATAATCGGTGTAGAATTTGATAAAAGTTGTCGAACAGATACTTATCAACGCGAAGGCAGAATAAGTACAAATGGCAACTTGGTTTATCTATTTACTTCCGAACGAAAAGTCATTACACGCTCATTGTTGTAATATATTTCGGTAATGTCACTTAAAACCCTACTAGTTTTCGATTTGGTGAGTTTCATCTAAGTAAACTATGGACTGGTTCGATATTCAACCATATCATTACATAATTACGCCTGTTACCCTCAATCTAGCATAGGCAGCCGACTGGCATTCGCCAGCCAATTCTGTTCTTGACCTTCCTTTCCTGTTATAGCAACTGCTATTCATACTTTACATGTCTGTCTCCCATTTTCGGTGCCGTATGTTTCTTGGTCTACCACTCTTCCTTTTGTCCTGGAGATTCTAGGTTTGAGCTTGCATTTTAAACGAATCAAATGGCTTCTACAATGTTTTCTGTGCAACTCCAACCGCTTTTCCAAATTTCTTGTTCAGCTAGAATGCGGTTTGTTCCACAATGATCCGTAGTGTTTACGGAATCCAGCCTACCGATCTCAAAGCTGGGGGTCTACCAGACATTTTATCCGGTTTAACAACACTTGTAGACTTTTCCTGGTATTGAGATTAGAGTAGTGCCTTTTTAGTTCTCACTCTTGTTGAGATCTCCTCTCTTTTGTACCTTGACCATTTGTCTTTCTTTCCAGTTTGTCGGTACTTGTTCTTCCTTCTAAACCTTGCTAAACAGAGCATGAAGCATGTTTACAGTTTCTGCCATGTCCACTCTCAGCGCCTCATATGGTATGTTGTCTGATCCAGGTACTTTGCCGCTCCTGATTTGCTGGATGACCATGCTGACTTCTTCAATTATTGATGGATGAACATGAATTGGGAGGTCTGTATGTGCTGCTCCAATCTTGGGTAAGGTCACTGAGGCTGTTGTATCCAAGAGTTCTTCAGAGTGTTCTGCTCACCTGTTTCATTGTTCTCCAATGTCGGTGATTGTCTTTTATTTCTTGTTTTTCACTGATTTTTCTGGCTTACGATATTTTACAGCAAGCTTCTTCGTCGAATCATGTTGTTGACTCAAGTTTCCTGCTGTTGCTATCATTGCTAGATCTTCCACATCTTTACGTTTTTCAGCTTTAATGCTTCTCTTCACTTGCTTATTTGCTTCTGTGTATTCAGCTTGTGCCTTGGCTTTCTGTGCTCCTGTTAGATTGTTACTCATAGTTATCTTCCTGCTCTTTCTTTCTTGAATTTTATGCATGGTATGGACAGAGATCCATTCCTTGTGATGATGCTTCTTATGGCCTGAAACCGCACTATATGCTGAAGTTATAGTTGCCTTGATGCATTTACTGATGTTCTCTATAGTAGTTTCTTCTTCATCGAGTAGGTCGTGAAATGCCTGAAACCTATTGCTGAGAGCTATCTTAAATTCGATGAATTTGCCAGTATCCCGCAGAAAGGCTGTATTAAACTTCTGTGATGTTGTCTGCCCTGTTGTCAGCCCCCAAATACTTTGGTACGGCCGACAGTGGAAGAGTTCTCTCTCCTCCTCGAAATACTGTCATATCGCCACCGTCAAAAAATTCCTACTCACTGCCGCGTAGCGGGGTGTCGTTCACGAAATCGAAAGGCTGAAAAGTTAATGTCTGACGCTTTACCAGGGTTGATGGGTACAGAAGGTCCACCTTGGGAAAACACTGATTGCAAACCAGTGGTGTACGTGGGCCACAGGGTCCTGATGGAATGAATGATGTACGGTGGTGTTCAACCTCGCTGATTCAGAGTGATTGTTTAGGCTGACTCTCAAACGTACCATGTTATGCGCTTTCTGACTTTCGGTTGTCTATTGCTCTACTTACTAGAATGGTTATTGAATTTCAAAACAAGCATCGTTATACCTTTTTTGCATCATCTCTGTCAGTTTAAGTAAACAATCCCTATGTTCCTTGTGCTCAGAAAATAGCATACACTTATAACAGAAGAAATGGAATTTTTGTAGCATCCGATCATGTAACATCACTGGTATAGAAAATAATATTAAGCATTTTGGTATTCAATATTTTCATAGTACTGCTAGTAATTTAAATTCGACTATTCCTGTTTGCAGTTGATGAATTCACTGGTTGCTAGGGTGTAGTCCATGTCCGTAGGTGCTGACCTTCTAGCTGGGATACGATTAGTGCTAGTAATCAGTGGTTAAGAGTTCGGTCGATCGATCATATTGAGGCATTTAAATTTACTCTCTATTTTTCCTCGAATCGTAAGGTACCTATAATCTACCACTTTTTATTCTTCGATCTCAATTTTCCTAAACTGTAGTTTCTATATGTCAATTCTCATTTGAGTTGGGATGGATTGTTCCCTCTACATTTCATCCTATTAATTTTCTTGTCCCCATACTACCTAGCTGCAGTACCTCGAACCGACGCGTTCAGATTATGGTCTAAGTTAGAGATTACTGACTGGATTTATTTCGTATATGAGGTCAATCTTTCGGAAGGATTATTATGTTTTATCAATCTAAAAAGCTGTGATCCATTTTGTGCGTAACTAGTGATCATTCATCTAAATTTTAATAGTTCTGAAGAAACGTAAAGTGTCCTGAGTTAAGGATGAAACAATGAATTCAGTGGCTGCCGGTTTGAATTTCGCTAAAATCATAAAATAAATTGTTGAACTGGTCAAGATAGCTGGTCCCCCCCGATGTATTGCATTTTATGACCGAACAAAATGATAATGTCTGAAGAGGAAATGAATATCAAGGTGTTTAAAACTACGTAGGTATTATGCAAATAAGCGTAGGACAGTAAAATGGTGAAAATTTAGCGAACGGTAAATAGAAGTTACTTTTGAACGATAGGACACACATTACGGATACCACCCAACTGAGTCACACAACAAACCCTCATTTAGAATCCTCGAGGCCAAAGTAAGAGAGGATGACCAAGGAACACATTATGTTGGAAACAGAAATGAGAAGAATAAACACCAATTGGATGGAGCTGGTAAAGAAGCCCTAGGATATACAGTAGGTTGGAGAATACTGGTCGGTGACCTATGCTCCAATGGGAGTAACAGGTGTAAATTTGAACGACTATAGTCTCGTATGGCATATCGTTCTTAGTTTTTAACTACTTGTTTGTAACATCTCATTTATGGCAGCAACGAAATGCGCACTTATTGCATGACTAAAGCAACAGACAATTGCTCCATTGACTGATGACATTTCTTGGTTTGCTCACTGTCACCCACTTTTTAATTTACCTATATACGGATAAGGATAATCTGTCGACGAAGTATTCTTATGCTGGGAATGGTCATATCACTATGATCTAGTAGAGATCAAAGTCACTTGGACTATTACCAGTGCATTCATTATTAATCACCTTAAATGTAAATGTGTTCATTTCCTTCCCATTTTGTTGCCCTCTTAGTTTATGCTTAAAATTTATTTCGTTTGTTATTTTAACACTTTGTGTTGTATTTAAAACTTACAACAATCCAATGAAGTTATGGAGTTTTTGCTTGTGTAACTCATTTTGTGTAGTTTTTAATTATTTTCATTTTCTGTACAGGTCTTTCAAAGTTATAATTGTGATTTGGATAAGATTAATAAATACTGTTTATTCTTCCTGATATCTTTCTGACTATTCCCTATTTTTTTTTTTAAACAGATAGAGATCATGAGTTTTTCTGGAGATTTTGCATTAAGTGATCAAAACACCTTAAAGATATTACGTCAAGTTGAATTTTACTTAAGTGAAGGAAACTTGAATCGTGATAGCTTTTTCAAACAAGAAATGCAAAAGCGAGATGATGGTGGTATCCCAATAGGTTTGTTGCTAAAATGTAATCGTATGATTGCTATGAATGTTACTGAGGATATTCTAAAGAGTGTTATTGGGAAATCGAAAATCCTGAAGCTGTCTGACGATGGTAAGTTATTTGCTAACCGATTGGTAGAATCTATGATTCCAATAAATAAGTACACACCATGTTCTTTGTGTGTTTTTAACAGAATATGCATTTTTACTGTGTACGTACGTACGTACGGTTTTAATACCTTATTTCCGTTCAGGTTAACTTTAAGTGTTATGTTTTTATGTTTTAATTATATCAGGGTTGGCTATTGTCCGAATGTTTCCATTATCTGAATTGGGACCTCGTGAGAAACGAACAATCCTAGTTACAGAACTTCCACGTTTGTCCATCGAGATAACTGAAGACGTAGATGAGAACAACACTTCTAGTCACAATTCAAAATCAAATGAGAATAAGCTGAAAAACATGAGTTCAGTAAGTTGGGAACTCAATGACTGGATACGAAATGTATTTGAAGAATATGGTGAAGTTTTATATGTCAGTTTACCACGGTAAGTTTTCATAAATTTTTCACTCCTATCCCTATTAACCACCTGTTCAGTATAACACAAATAGGTTCAGGTTCTTGGTTTTATCTGTGATTATACATTTAATCCCCATTTAAACACTAAAGACATGAAGTTCAGTGAAGTGATCTATTTTCAACACCTTTTTATATATATATATATATGTATATATATATATGAAGTGAAAACATGGAAAGATTGTATGCAGTAATAAAATAAAGATCTTTAGAATAGCATACTTGTAGTAGTAGTCATTTCTAAGTCTTCATAATTAGCAGTTTATGATACTATTGCGTCGTGTAGTACTCCTTCGATAAATAACGTCCTGATTTGTGTGTTTCAAGTAAGGGGCGAGGGACTTGACAGCAACCATCAATCTAATCATTTAAACGCACTAATTATACAGCAGTATTCTGCATTTTTCAATGTTTATACCCAAAGGTTTGTTAGTATTTTTGGTAAAAACTATGCATGCTTGAGAGTTCATAAATATATTCATAGATGGATGATTGACTGAACTCTGCGAGTAGCCCTTAATTTAAATGTAATAAAGAGACGTTTGAAAATTGCTAAATTATTGGGTTAAACGTACCGATCGGTCGACAATAGGTGGTAATACATAAGCCCCCAACCGAACTGACACCAAAAAACATCTACTCCATAATATAAGCTTTTTCTTCTAACAAAAAACACGTTTATGTACAAAATATTGTACACGAAAGTAGACATAATTGGAATTCATTTAATAACTAAACAATTATACCATGTAGGAACTGAATATAATTCCCAACTATTACGTTGAACTCTTTCCCCTCCATATCAGAGATGTCAGAGGTCAACTAGACAATTTAATCAACACGTGTATATTAAAGTTGAATATGAATGAGATGAATTGCAGATATTCAGTTGTCATGACCTCTGACACATATCCTTTCAGTAAACCTTCATAACACTAATATGAGTTCCACTTAACAGCTTTAAGCAGTTGGATATATTTGTTTACTAGTTTTCTCAAAGATGGTCTCTACTATAATTATTTTTGGTTAGTGAGATTAAGAAACAAAGCCAATTGTAGTGCACTTCCTATCACATGATTTCGTTCATTCCTTTCCATCTCTGATCATTTTATTTCCACCCCTTTCTGTACTTAAGTGAAGTGTAGGAACATCCTAGAGTATGCTTAAAATCAATCTGGGAATTTTATTCTTGATCTGGACACCTATGTTATCAAACATTTATAGAACTTTAAATTTCTAGAAACCTCATTAGTCTAGCTGACTACTCTATCAGCATCTCAGAACTTTTTTAATTCCTTTATTGAAAAAATGTTTAAAACGGATATGAGTATACTATCTCCAGGACATTTTATCGGTTAACTCTCCTTTCATCTTAGTTGATCCTTTCCTATGTTACAGTAAAATGTGCCAACCTAAAATTGGTGCAATATTTTGTGAGGTTTAAAGCTTGTCTCGTACTTCAGAAAGTTTACTCATTGGTAATATGATTGTACATATGACCATTATATTGGGGTTAAATATATTTGTTTCCTAGTTATGAGCAGTTTGAGAACTTATTCTCATTCAATCACACTCTGATTCAGGTTTTAAATATAAAATATTGATCTACATTGTTCATCATTGCATTGTATAATATTGTCGCATGAGATTAGTGTAATTGAAGCACTAGATTTAGGCCTTATCACTTGTTAATATTTATCAGCGAAATGGTGTTAAGCATTTCAAAGACATTGATGCTTTATTCAGAGCTGTGAACCACTGCACCTCTTTGTTATCATTAAAAATAGTGATCCTGAGATATTTCAGATGAAAGTAATGATCCTCTCAGACCGACTGCTTTTAGCCATTCAAAACCCTATTTGACATACTGTAGCACTAAATCAATTAGCTTACAGTTTCTGTTCATTTAAAAATTAATATTGGTTCAAAGAGGGCATCTAACTATTGATGCGTCACACACACAAATACTAGTGAATTATTCAAATAACATAAAGTTGTATTAATTTTAGCTATCATCACTCCAATTCATTTCGAGGATTTGCTTTTGTTGAATTCAAAACATCTAAATCTGCTAGAAAAGCTGTTAAACACATGTGTCTTGTTGTTGAAGAATGGAACAATGGCTTGTACAACCTACAGGTAACTAGTTTTTTTTCTTAATTTGTATCACTAACTATCATTTTAAATAGTCATTCTCAGTTTTACCCAAAAATTGTCTTTTTATTTCGGTGCAATAACTGCTCTCAGATCTGATTCAATTTCTCCATTGCCTAGGGAGAGAAATTTGTTTACAAACTTAGTATAAAAACAATGCAACCTGTCAGTGAACATTTAATTTAGGAGCATGTGAGATCCAGTCTGCCAGAAGAGCATCAGCTCTCTTAAGATTGCTGGCGCATCTTGCTGATAAGTGTCAGATAGCTCGAAACGTATGACTGTAATTTTTTGTTGACTGCTTCCACTCACCCTCCGTCCCGAAGTTGTATATAAATAATGTGATATCGTTTAATTTCAGTAAATATCGTTAAAAAACAATTGTGTTTTCCAGTTATGACTTTCAGTAACCACCAGCCCAAGATCGTTACTATATTTCAAACATTCTTTTATACACATAGAAGATCAGACCACATCGCACTAATAAATAGAAAAGCGGCTGTGAATAAGGAGGTCTTAAGTAATAAACTATCAACGAAATAGGAATATTTTCAGTTAGAGTTATGGATATTAGTGTTTTTACACATTGAAATCATGAATTAGTCATTGCTAGACCACCATTCAAAACCTGCAAACACTGGACGGTCGTTTCGTCCTGGTGCGGGACTCATCAGCAGTGCGCATCCACAACTCCTGCATCTCGCAGGATTCGAAACCGGGACCTTTGGTATTGTGCGTGAACTCCTAACCTCTGGATCACTGGACCGGCATCCAACGGTGTTAATGTCTAACTCTGATTGATCTAGGGGTTTTGCGCGACCTTACCCATTTGTCTTTGGTAGTTACTGCCTACTCCCGACAGGATTGAACTCCACTGATTACGTCTTCTCACTAGAACTCCGAGAATTTCCTCACGAAGCTAGTCACTTAGTAAGTAGTATGACGGCAATTTATGAGTTGATGGAAAGCTTATGATAGAAGGGAATATATATATATATATATATATATATATATATACTTGACAATCTAATTACTTTACAATTATACAACAAGACTATGTACAATAGTAGTAATCCATAGATTCGTTTTCTAGGTTTCTATACTGCCCTAATCTTCGTTTGAATATAGTATGACTTTTAGTTTTGCAATATCAAGTTTGTTTTTCATGTCTTTCAATTTTCTCATTTCTCGCCTTATTTCTTCATTAGAGATATCTGAAGCATCTGATTGTCCAGAATCAGCATGGAAACCACGACTTGCAGCCAAAGTTTCTTTTTCATTGAAAGAAATGTTAGCGCGAAGGTATATTTGGCGTTGTTGTTCTCGAAAGAATAAACAACTTATTACAGCGTTTAAACATTTACGTCAGGCCGGATACACTGCTAGTAATCCATGTGATAGAGAATGTAAGTTGAAATATTTTTTTATTTTTTTCGCAAAGTATTTAATTAAATTCTTAATATTCATTATAAACTAATACATGTTTTAGATTTCTTCTAAGGAAAAATAGTTATTACTACTTTTGTTATTGAAAAGTGACATTTATGAAATCGTGTATATTTAGTTTGTTTTTAAGTTTCTTTCTTTAAAGAAAAGAATTTAATATACTTTATAGTCTGAAGTTATTCTAATCAAATATACATGGATTGCTCGCTTATCGACTTAGAATATGCCGATGACATAGTCCTACTTGGTGAAGACGCTGACAAAATGCAGAGTCTTTTGACTACCCTAAGCAACAATGCAAGCATGTTCGGGATGCGGTTTTCTCCGTCGAAATACAAAATGTTGCTTCAAGATTGGGTTTCATCGGCACCTGAACTAGTGATAGGGAGTGAAGTAGTCGAACGTGTAGACTGCTTCACTTATCTTGGGAGTCTCATCAGTGCTGATGGCCTGGTGACTGACGAAATCTCAGCTCGGATATAGAGGGCTCGATTGGCATTTGCCAACATGCGTCACCTATGGCGCAGGCGAGATATCTGTTTGCTGACTAAAGGACGAGTGTACTGTGCAGCAGTTCGCTCCGTCCTACTGTACGGATGCGAGACTTGGCCGTTAAGAGTATAGGACTTCCGTAGGTTACTAGTCTTCGATCATCGATGTCTCCGAAGTATTGCTCGTGTATCGTGGGACAACCGTATAAGCAATGCTGTCGTTAGGAAACGAGATCTAGGTAGGGACGGCAAATCAATAGATGAAGTAATAAAACTTCATCAGTTGAGGTGGTTGGGACATGTGTTACGTATGCCCAACCACCGACTGCCTCGACGAGCTATGTTTTGCAGTGTAGGAGTAGGTTGGAAGAAAGCTAGGGGCGGCCAAACCGAAACATGTCAGAAATGCATGAAGTCACTGACAAGTGAACTGAGTCATGTTGGTAGATGTAGGCTACCTGGTTGGGGTCCGCGAGACGATAGTCACCGATGGTTAGAGACCCTGAATGACATGGCTCAGAATCGTTTGCAATAGCTCAGGTGCATCCATTCTAAGCTTCTGCATTCCTCATAATCTCTACCTTTCTCCTTCTTAATTTATCTTACTGAATTATACTTCTGGAATCAAATCTTCGCTCCCTGATCTTCTCCATTGCTGCTAATAATTCTGCCATCACTATCACTCTTGGATTTCAATTGACAGTTGCGTCTCTGTGCTAATGCGGTATGGCAACCTGAACTGGTGCACGTACGTACGAAGTTCTGCGTTGTATGTATGTCTGTCTGTCTATACATGGATTAAAGTCTGTTCTTCAATCTATATATATATATATATATATATATATATATATATATATATATATATATATATATATATATATAGTAGGTAATGTTGTTAAATTACAAATGACTAGTGCACTTCACTGTTCACCAATATAAATTTGTTCTATTAACTGTATTCTGCTTTGTTCATTGTACTTTTTTATTCTCTTCAAATTTAGATTATTCAATTATCCTTGGAGATAATTCTACAGAAGCTATACTTAATTATGTTAAAAATAATCGTAATTATGAACTATGTCAATCTAAACTACGTGTATTTCGTTATTCGGATTGGTTATTTTGGAAACAAAAATTTTATTTATGGCAACAAGCATGGATTGTTCGAATGCATCGTAAAACTGAATTACTACTTAACAATAATAATATTAGTAATGATAACATTCATTCTCATGAGATTGCCAGTATAATAGAAGAGAATGAATCTTATTGCATGGATTCTGATATGAATCAAAATCCATTGTCAATAAACAACTGTTCAAATGAATCGTCAACGAAACCAAAAATTCTTCCTAATAATTTTGTTCCAAATTCCATTGTTCAGGTGGGCTGTCTTTTGTATGTTGATGTGTTGTGTTTAGTTTGATTACTATCAGAATGATGAAAAACAACTGGGTACTCATTACAATTGTTTTCGTCCAAATTAACTAACATACGTATTTGAGGATAACCATGATACTATGCTAATTCTGTTAAGATTCTTTATCAAGAGGTCATTCAGTCAGCCACATCCGACTGTAGCTGCTACCTGGACTTGGTGGTCGGGCTTGCCTATCGTGATAACCCAACCGAGCTATATTAGCTGAAACGTATGTTCCTGTATGTTCTAGCATGTCAGGAGGTCGATTGGAGAACGGTGCGACTGAAAGCAGCAGCTACTCAAGGTGTGAGAGCGAAGTCGTACTGCCGACTGTAGAGGGGTGTGACAGCAGTAAGGTGTTTCCCTCGGACAACCAGCATCTGCAGCGATGCTGCCTCCTCACATGGAAGGAAGGGGTTAGAAAAGGTCGACCCTAAAAATGTCGCGCCTCACCTTACCTCACGGATTTCCGTCTCCGGTTGTAAGGCCTTCAAAACAAAAGTGGAGCTAATACTATTGTGGGACGTTGGAACGTGTGTCTTTGTTCCAGGACCTGACGTAGTGTCAATATGTGGTCTATACAACCACGTCCAGGTTTGAAACCAGCCTAGTTTTCTCTAGTCTACTCTTCACGAGCTCTCGTTAGGCGTTGGAGTATTATTGAGGCCAATATTTTCGATACTATATTTGTAAGACTTGTTCCTCTGTGATTGTCACAAGAGGACTTTTGTGCTTTTTTTGTCAATTGGGACAATCAGCGATCGAGACCAGTCAGATGGGATTGTGTCCAGTTCCCAGATTCTACTTAATATCTCAGTCAATCTTACTGCTAAAACTATATCACCATACTTAAAGATCTTGGTGGTCAGTCTATCAGGTCCCGCTGCCCTCCCTCGCTTTAGATTCCCTATAGCTTTCTCAACTTCATAAAGAGTCGGATGACTTATCGACTTGCCATTCAGGATGACTGGATATCATGGGAAACCGAAGTGCCAGTTGAATTGATCCCTGAAGTGTTCTGCCCATCGATCCAATCTCCTGGACGGCCGTTTCGTCCTGGTATGGGACTAACCGGCAGTGCGCATCCACGACTCCTGCACCTCGCAGGATTCGAACCCGGGACCTTCGGTCTCGCGCGCAAACGCGTAACCTCTGGATCACTGGTCCGGCATCCAACGGTGTTAATGTCTAACTCTGGTCAATCTAGATATTTTGCGCGACGTCACCCATTTGTCTTTGATAGTTACTACCTACACCCGACAGGGTTGAACTCCACTGATCACGTCTTCTCACTAGAACTCCGAGAATTTCCTTACGAAAGTAGTCACTGGTGAGCACATTGTACGTTATTTTCAAATAGAGTTATGGAGATCCTGCGAGATGCAGGAGTCGCGGATGCGCACTGCTAATGAGTACCATACCAGAACGAAATGGCCGTTCAGTGCTTTCAGGCTCCTAATGGTGGTCTAACAATGATTGATTGATGATTTCAACGTGTAAAAACACTGATTCCCATAACTGTAATTAAAAAAATTTAGATTTTAAAATCTGTTTATTTTATTTTTATTTTTGTTGTTGTTGATAGGAACGTCCACCATTTTTAAACTGTTATGCGAAAGTTCATTTAATAAATAGTCTTATTATGAACTGTATGTCACTTCATTTTCTTTTTTAGATATACTGGCCTTCAGCATTGATTCCCAAAGGAAATTCAACAAATACACCTTTATCGGATAATCTTTGTGATACACTAATCACACCAAAGAAATTATCATTTGCTCGTTTGTTACGTATTAGTCTAGAAAAGAATCTTCTTGTTCCACATAATCTTTTAAACGATGTTGCTCATGTCGATCCAAATCCTAATCAAATTCTATTAGATTCTGTTAATCAATTTGGATGTAGTATCATACCAACTTCTAATGGGCATGAATCATCATCACCACCACTCTCCTCTTCCTCCTCCTCCTCCATTGATTTCATTCCACTTTTTATTCGAATGAAAAATAATGATGCTGCTCTAAGATTACTACACTCTATTGATTGTTCTACAACAATCCATGGTGTAACAGCACGTATTCTTGAAGGCTTAAGTGAACAAGCATACTGTGATAATATTGTCAAGTCTCGAGTGAATGCTAGAGAACGTCATCGTACTTCACAATTAAAAAAACGTCAAAAACAAAAATCTTCCAATCCCACTCCTCCTATATCATTCAATAATTTTATACCTCCTAGTAGTAGTAGTAATAAGACTAACAATTCTAAGCATATTATATTCGATGAATAAATTTCCATTTGTATTATTTTGTAAATATATATATATGCTCTGAAATCTATTTTGTTTATGAATAGACTCTAATTTCTAAACATATGTACACAGTAATACTTTGTTTTGAAATAAAAACTGTACAATCAATATTACATCATGTTTATGGACAAGACTTATCAGCTATTGGTCAAATACCAGTAAATTAGTTCAGGTTTCAGAACATTTTAGTAAATGGTTATCAGATTTAAAAACTGGAATTGGTTATAGCTCTGTAGCTTAACTAGTCAATTACTATTTAATATTAAAACTAACAGTGATTTTCTTAATGTTTAAATACATGAACTTTCTCTCTTCAATCAGTCAGTCAGCTACACAATAGAGAACTTTGTAGGTACGTATATCAGTTCAAGTTACCATTATCGCGTTAGCACACAGAGATTGAATTGTCAATTTAAATCTCAGGGTGGTGGAGGTAGTAGAGGTATTACCGGTAACTGTTATGCTCGTCAATTGATATACTTGAATGCTATTACGACTTCACCTTAGTCGATAAACGAGAGCGAAGACAAATGATCCAGTGACACGATAGGCTACTCTAATCCGAGCGTACTAAGGCCCCACTAAATGGATGAAAAAGTCTTGATATAGCGTAGAAAGTGTATTCTACAGGCACCTAGAAAATATGAAGTCTTAAAGCACACAAATCGAGTTTATTTATACATGATAGAAATGTCCTTAAAAATAGCGTACTAAAATAATGCACCAACCAATAACAGTCAAGGATTTCCCGGGTGGGAAATGTAATCTGAAGGTCAGCCATGCGCTTAAACAAAATCCAAAATTAGGACCTTTATCAAGTGAGTTCTGGGTATCTAACATCCCAGCAGTAATGGAAGAGATTAGGGTTCAAGGATATTTTTCAGGAAGTATTGTATCTTGAAATATAGCCAGCTCTTAAGTACAGTATGATAGACTTGAGATTAAAAGGACTTACTAAATAGGGAATACATCTCAAATTTTCACTTCCTTGTATCGTTCTCTAACTCATAGCCAAACAACTCAAAAACACGAATACTGTAAATTTATGTTCTGCTACTACTTATGGGAGATGCTTAGTAGATGTGACTTTGATGACCAATTGCCAAAATAATAATTTTACAAGAAGCCAGATTTGGTTTATAGTTGTAGGTTTAAAAAACTTCCTTGCAATTAGTTTGGAAGTAGAGTATTCACCAACATATAAAGCGTATCACTCTCAAAGTTTACAAAACAATATATTTATGTAGATATTTGATAGTGAACCTATCGTAGTAGAAATGATGTTGCTAGTGTTTAATAAAAAACCTAGTTTTCATGATATATTTAATCAGTGTGTGGAATTCGAAATACAATCCACTTTCGTGATAGGATGAATAAACGACGAAATACGTAGTTCAGCTCTTCTAGGTTTGTTTAACAGTCTGTATGATTATCAGATATAGATTTTTCTTTACACAGTTGAAAAATCACCAACATCATTTCTCGACAGTCTAGTGGTGTTAGTGAACTTCTCAATATTGAAATATCCATACATTCAAATGACATGTCTGCGATAGGAAAAATAGAGCTTCCAGGATTTCACTATCCTAGGTAAGATATTCTTAACAAGTTTAAATGATTTGACGGAGGTCTTTTCAATAAAAAGTTAGTTTCTATGGATTGATATCATCTAGGAACAAAATCAAAGAATTATAAAACACTGAGTAGGTGTAGCTTAGCGTAGGAGAAGTGGTGGTCATCAAATTTTGTAGTACTTGGCAATCAATTTGCTGTAACATCATAAGTGTGACCGATTGTAGCAGGTTTTCGGAAATTTTAGTGTACCGTTCTAGTTTATTAAATGACTGGTTCCTTCATTTCGAAATAGGTGTTTTAATATCAATATGTATTGGTTACATTAATATATATAATCTTATAGATAAACATCAGATCATTCCTCCTAACTTCATCAATTATGGTAGTGAAGGATTTTGGACAAAGCATCAAAACTTTCATCGAGAAACGAGTGCTTCATCATCATCGAAAGAAGGGTTGGTCGAGGAGATAAGAGAGTTATTAAGAGGTGTAGAAAGGATTTGATTGTGACCGATTCGGTCTCGTGTGCTTTTATGAGTATGACGGCGGATATCACTTTCTGGCTGCCCACACCATGGGAGGGTGTTTCTTGTGGAACCTGAAGAGGAAGGTAGATTAGCGTCGGTCTTAACGACTTGGGAGCGTGACTTCAGATCCCAAGGGACAACTGCTTGAGGCCGGTCATGCACGGCCTTTTTATGAAAGGTTTTTTGAGTATTAGCTCCGCTCTTAACAGCCCTTACTGCCAGAGACGGAAATCCGTGAGGTAGGGTGAGGTGTGACATTTTTAGGGTCGACCTTTTCTAAGCCTTCCTTCCTTGTGAGAAGGCAGCATCGCTGCAGATGCTGGTTATCCGAGGGAAACACCCTACTGCTGTCACACCCCTCTGCAGTCAGCAGTACGACTTCGCCCTCAGACCTCGAGTAGCTGCTTTTAGTCTCATCGCTCTCCAATCGACCAGCCTGGCATGGCAGAACCTACAAGAACATATGTTCCAGTCAGTGTAGCTCTGATGGGTCATCACAATAGTCAACACCGACCACCATGTCAAGGTAGCAGCTACGGTCGGGTATATATTTTGTCTTGTTTTGAAACCTTTCACTATTTGTTGACCTTATATATGATTTTAATATAAAATGATTCTTAATAAAATAGACATATTTTAAAAGTTAAAAATAAACTGAATATAATTATTCATCAAGCAGGTTAAGTTCAAGTGTTTCTTGTTAAAGAATAGTCCTTTCATCTTGGTATGACAGATATCTCAGAGATAATTAACCATCACCCTAAACCGGATATAAATAATGGACAGTACAGTTTCTCAATGGGCATAATACCATGAAATTATTTAACCGCGATCCAATAAAATACATTTTCAATAATCTAACTTAATAATTTCTCTAATTACTCATCGACTACGAATAGTATGCTAAAGAATTTCTTTATCATCCTGTAATATCTTTTCCAGTAGTTTGTGATGTAAACGTATTGAGGAAAAACTAAAATTTGCCTCGTCATATTGTGTAATTTTACACCTAACAGAAGTTGACAGGTTTCCTATTCTTTTCCAAAGATCCTCATGTATACACACTAAATCAGTTAATACTTATTTGTTTTAAGTGTTATTCTTAGAGAAATTCAGCCTTTTAAAAGTTTATATCACGAACGATTTCGCTTAATTAACATTTTTAAACAAGTCTCTTATACGAAAGTTATTAAATTAGAATAGTTGAATATAAACCAGTAAACTGAGTACAATTTTTTTCTCATGCAACATTACAATTACTACTCAGATTGTACGGTTGATTTTATAACAACTATTGATCACTACTCATAAAAATATTAAGTAGTGCAGCAAATATCATTTAAATTTGTATCAACAGTGATCATAAAGATTGGTTCTGACAATCTTGTAAGTTTAAAATTCTCATATCATTACTTTCTATTACTCGATAACACAAACAATTTTCCCACCTAAAGTGAAATCCTTTCATTTTTCCCATATTTCATCACTATATTTTGAATCATTTATCTAATTAATGGCTCAAATGGACTAGTTTCTCAATATCATTTCCGTACAGAAATAGGTGGTTACAGAAGGCTCGATTGGCTTTGCCAACTTGCGTCACTTATAGCGTAGGAGGGATGCCCGTTTGTTAACTAAAGGACGAGTATGCTGGGCAGCAGTCCACTACGTCCTACTTTATGGCTGTGAAACATGGTCAGTGAGAGTAGAGGATACTCGTAGGTTACTGGTTTTCGATCATTGGTATCTTCGAAGAATTGCTCATTAATCTTTGGACTGTCGAGTTAACGATGCTATTTCTAGGAGACGGGCACTAGATAAGGATGGCAGATCAATAGATAAAGTATTGAAACTTCATTAGTTGGGGTGTTCAGGATGTGTTACGAATGCCCAACCACCTTGAACGACGTGGCTAAAAACCGTTTGCGATGACGCTGATGCGTTCACTGGCTTCACTCATATTCTAATCGTCTGAATTCCTCAACACGTCTATTTTTCTCTTTCTAAGTTTATTTCACTAGATTCTACTTCTTGAATAACATCTTCGAATCCTAATCTCTCTGATTACTGCTAATACTTCTACTACCTCTACCACTATGGTATTTGAATTGACAATTACATCTCTGTGCTGCTGCAGTATGACAACGTGAACTGATGTACGTACGTACGTACGTAAGTAACTGACTAATTAGTATAAATAAAAATAAGAAAATTATTTATTTCAAATGAGATCACAATTTATGATGACAAAAAATTTCTGTGTACACATTTCAAAGCCAAAATAATAAAATGAGCTTATATATCAAGATACTAGTTTTTTTTAGAGTATTGTAATAGAATTAATTCGTTTTATCGAAACATTTCTAATGATTAATGAAAAATATGAAAATACATATACAGTCATTATAGTTCATAGGTCATCATCATCATCATTATCATCAGTAGTTATATGTTGATAAAAAAATGTTTTTTTAAAAAAAGATGTGTTTCATTTCAATGCATTCAACATAATCATTATCTATGTGAATAGAAATCAGAATATAAACGTGGTTGTGTTGAAGAAAAATTATGCTGACAATGTGTAGTATAATGAATTCCTTTTGAATGAATTGTATGCCTTTGTGTTGTATTATCATCCATATTTTCTGTTGAATTTATCTACAAAAATTTATCATCATTTAGGGAATTTTTGATTCATTATATAAAAATGATATTTGATAATTAAAATAAACTTGTAAAATAATTGAAATTTCTAAATCAGTTCCCCCTTAAAAACTCTATCTATGCAATATTGAAATGATTCAGTTATGAGAATTAACTATTTGTTTTGCTTATTGAAAATATGCGTCTGATCACGGTATCACGTAATCCTATCTAATATGATTGAAACTCAGTATCGATTAAGCAGGTAATCAAACGGTTTAAATCAATCGTATCTAATAACATCGTTACAATAATACGAATCGACATTTTGCTTAATTAAAATTTTATGGTATACTAAAACTCAAGTTCTTTTCAACAGTTTTTAACGCTCTGTTTTATCTGTTATATGTGTAACACAATATTACGAATTCTACTAAATGCCTTGCCACGATAAGATTAAATATTTTTATTATCAGAAATAAAACACAATATGTAAGCAAATGTGCTTAAACAACTCAGATGTTTGTTTCTTTACGCCGATTACCTCTTGTGGAGTATAAGCCGCTGACCAGCATTCTCCAGCCTACTCGTTCGTGGGTATTTCTTCCTAGTTCTTACCTAACTGTTCTTCATTCGTCCCATTTCTCGGCATAATGTGTTCTCCAGTCTTCCTTTTTTCTTTGTCCTTGAGAGCTCCAAGTGAGGGCTTGTCTTGTGACTCATTAGGGTACTTTCCTTAATATATGTCCTATCCATTTCCCGAGCTTACTCCTGATTTTCTCCTCAACTGGAATCTGGTTTGTTCTATCCCACAATAAGTTGCTGATGATGATGTCTTACCAGCGGATTGGAAGTATTTTGAACAGACAAGTGTCAATAAATACCTGTATCTTTTGAGCGATGGTTTCCGTGGTTCTTCAAGTTTCCGTTCCATACAGTAAAATTGTCTTGACGTTCATAGTAAAAATTGTGAGTGAGATGTTAGTTGAAAAGTGTTTGGAGTTGCAGATGTTCTTCGATTGTAGAAACGCTACCCTTATGTTGCCGATCCGCGCTTTCACATCTGCATCAGATCCACCTTGTTGAATAATGATTCTGCCCATGTATGTAAACGTCTCTATACCTTCCAACGCTTCTCCGTCAACTGTGATTTGTTTTGTGATAAACAACTCAGTAATTGTGTATAAATTCACTTTCTAAGCTTTCAGTCATAATTACTTCTTTAAAACTAAACGTTATCCTACTGAATAAACCTGATTGGATGGAATACAGTTCAATCTTAACACAGACTATTTATGTCAACGTATCAAGTTTATGACCTTGTAAATAGTCTTCATTTAATAAATTTATTCAAAAGCAATATGTTGTTTTAAAGAAAAGATAATCTAATGTGTACTTGTTGAATTATGGTCTAAATTAAAAAGTAACCTTTAAAAAAAATCAATGATCAACATGAAAAAAAGAACTAATGATATAATTTACCTGATTACTAGTTTCATGTCGATGAACTAAGATATTCGCCATAATTGTTGAACCACTGGGACAGTTTCCAGTAGGTATTCCATGCTCTACAGTTTGTGGTCTTGGATATAATGAAAACTTTTGTTGTTTTGTTGTAAAACAAACACGATTTGATGAATTGCGTGAACTTAACATTTTTTTCGCATTTTCTACTGATGTATGCGTTTTGCCATCATATAAGTTGCGATCGGCTCTTTCATGTTTCGTCTTGGTAGAGTGTATGTTGATGTAATTTCGGCTGGGGGCTAGATCCTTGTTTGGCAATGATCGATGTTCCTGTATATTACATAAAAAGTGAAATCATTTCAAAAGTTATCATCAGAGTATACAGTTATGTTTTTCTTCAATTGCAAATATTCTCATATAGTCAAATTGGGAACGGTTTTCATTGTTTTTAGTGCAGAGATTATCACACAAAAAAATGAAGTTTCAATTAAGCATGTTACCTACACAATACACATACAACAAAGTGAATGAATTTGGTGGTGTTATGCTACACTTACTTCAGTAAGGCGATTCATAGGTATTACGTAATACCATCCAATTAGCAGACCACAATCTTTAGAGGTGTTTCATTGCGTCGTAATTTCAGTTTTCTATGATTTCTGCACTCCAACGAACCTAAACTTAGTTAAAACACCAATCAAATACCATCTAATCTTCAGTTTTTAAACCTTTTCTATCTTTATTCCAAGTTTTCATCGATAAAATAATCAATATAAATATCACTGATAAAATTTATTTTTACAAAACGACATAGTCACTGCTTGAATCAAACATTTCATGTTAGGAAGAAATCATATTAAACCATTCAAAACAAATAACAGATGAACAATAGCCAAAAATGAAGTGACAACCAATCAAACAAATTTTATTTTCAATTAATCAAAAATCTTTTCAAATATTTTGATTGCGGAAAAAAAATTATATTGGCACAATTTGAATTTTTCAAGAGGGCATACTTTACCAATTCCGAAAAAAGTGTTGGACAACAATATTACTAAAAAAATAGTCAGAAAAAGGAAAAGGAAAAATGTCAAATTATACTTTAATGCTGAGCTACAATCAAGTTTGAGAAAGCAAATGATTTCATTTATATAATTAAATTTTTTATTCCAAATTATACTACTTTTAACGGGGCTTAGTAGCTTGTAGACTTTTTATTGACAACTAGTCATCCAAAAGGCACTTCAATCAATTTTTTTGGATAGCTTTCATTCATCATGTGAATATGAATGATTATGTTTTGGAGTGTAACAAAATGAAATTTGTATAAAGACAATAGGCACAAAATATCAAATCATTAAATTCTATGCAACAAACCACATACCACATAATTGTCGCGTTCTAATTCATTTTGATCGGATAAACTTTGATTAGTTTGTAAATGACGATCGGGTGTTTTACAGGTCAGTACACCAGATAAATTCAGTGAATCATTCTCACGGTAATCACTCTGAAATAAATGAACTAGTGTTAATAGGAACAGTCAGTTTATTTGTGAAAATTTATTCAAATTAAGTACTTATAACATGTTCGTGGGGATTTCTGTAGACTTGTGGAAACTGATGCTTTTGCCCGCTGGATTTGATCCCTTACAAAACACTTTTATAATTATAGGATTTACTACTAGCCTATCAGAGTTGACGCTCGAGCACATTCATGATTGAGACATTTACGTTGTTTGACCACTCAGTGAAAAGTGATATCACAACTTTCTGCATTTAGTGGATGAATAGAATACCGAAAACTCCAGGATAACAATGGCACCTTGTAGGAACACACCTAGTGTTACGCATGCACGTAAACATGTTAATTTTATGTGCTTGAACTATTACGAGTTTACCTTAGTCGAAAAACGAGAACGAGAATCGAGGATCCGGAGACACGATAGGCTACTCTAATCCGATTGTCTCAAAACCCCCATTGAGTGCAAGAAGAAGGCTTGATATGAGGTAGAACATGTATTCTACAGGCATTCGGAAAGTACGAGGTCCGAATCCAGAAGACACTCAGGATCCCGGACTAAGGATCTGGGTCCTAAAACGTTACAGATAATGCGTATTTATACATTTAGGTCGAATAGGAAACAGCATCGAAGTCTGTGACATCGACAGTTAAGACGGCCAATAGTAAACAACTTTAGAGAGCGTGACATCGATATTCAGGACGACCATAAAATTTACCAGTAGAAATAAACCAATCGGAATTGACCAATAATTCTCTTAGGATATTGGATGAATATCCTAACACCTAGGTTCTTGGTTTTTAAGCACCAATCTTAATTACTGATGACATTGTACTGTCATATGTTACAGTATCTCTTAATATTTAGAAAGAAATTCAAATGCTATAAGCAAATTTAATCTGGAAAACGCAGAGTTTTTTTATAACTCTGGTCTCGCTTAGTGACAGAAATGAAATTCTCTTCTCAATTTTAAGCAGAATGATTCCTAGAACTTCTTCGTGAATGTAGATCGTTTGTTTCTGCGCCATGGGTTTGGAATGTAGCTTTAAAATTAGTTATTCGTGTGCTTATGAAATATGTCCCATAAGTGCTTTCGAAACACTGTTCAAATATGATAGGAGCAACGAGTGAGCAATGCTGAGGCTAAATATATGGAATTAGGCAGATGACAAGCCAGTTGATGAAGTAGTGAATCTTTATCGACTGATATAGTTGTAAAAAATTACATATTCTTCACCTTCGGCTACTTTGATGAGAGAAATTAGCTCACTTGGATGTAGTAGGTTAGAAGAAGTCTAAGAGTGGCATGATCGTGATATGATATCGGATCATGAAATTATGGACTATCTCACTGAGCTACTACTACCTGGTTGTGCTCAGCACAGTTATCGAAACCAATGGATGAAGATATTGGGTGATATCAATTCATTCACGCTTTACCGGTGTTTTTTAATTACTCTTCAGTTGATTTCAATCCGTTATACGAAAGTGCTAATTAGACTGAGAGTTGTAGAAATGAGATTATCAGCAGCAGTTCTGATTTATATCTTACTGTTAGGATATTCATCCAATATCCTAAGAGAATTATTGGCCTATTCCTATTTATTAATTCCTACCGGGCAATTTTATGGTCGTCCTAGATATCAATGTCATATGCTCCAATGTTGTTTCTTATTGGTTGGCCTGACTATCAATATCACTTCAAATGTTGCTTCCTATTGGTCGTCTTAACTGTCAATGTCACAGACTTCGATGCTGTTTCCTATTCGACCAAAATGTATATATACGCATTATCTATAACGTTTTATGACCACGACCAGGACCAGGGCTCGGTCCCGGATGCCTAGTCCGGGGTCCTGATTCTCTTCTGGATTCGGACCTCGTACTTTCTGGATGCTTGTAGAATACAGGTTCTACTTCAGATCACGTCTTCTTATTTTTACTAAATATGGGGGTTGGGATAATCGGATTTGAGTAGCATGTCGTGTCGCCGGATCCTCGATCCTCGCTCTCGTCTTCTGACTGCGTAAACTCGCAATAGTTCAAGCATATCAGGTTGACGTGTTTACGTGCAGGCATAACACTTACAAGGTATCCAACCGCTGATTTTTTAAAGTTTCCAAGACTTACAATTTCATAGTCATAACTCAAATGATAAAATGAAGCACACGAAAATGAAATTCGGTATTTTTGTTTAAGTGAAATATAAACATTCAAATATAAGAAAAACACACATAGTAAACAGAGTCAAAAATTTAATTGTCAACTACATTTAAACAATATATACAACTCACTTGATGATGACTTAACCAACGTTCGCAAATTTCTGTGGAATGACTTAACGGTTTTGTATAGTTGTTACCTTTTCTAATCATATCAATACCATAAGATGGTTCTAAATTACGCAATGTATCTCTTGGCCATTCTTCCATAGAATTCGGTCTGTTTCGATCATAGAATTCAGTAGCTTAACAAGGACAAGCGAAAAGTGAAACATTCCATTTATTGTGTTAGAACAATGATACAGTTAAGCTCAATCTAATGAAATAAATAGTTCGATTGTTAACCGAAGTTGTTTTTTGATATGCTTCTATTGTAGTTAGTAATGACATGAATTTATATAGAACAATTATCACATCCCTATATACCCGTAGATTTTCCAAAATCATTTATTAGTTCAAAACTAGTCGAATAAAAAAAAATTAGGAAAAAGTATCAGCTAGATGTTTCTTTCATAAATTAGAACTCTTTCAAAATGCAAAGTTTTAACACCTTTTAGGGTTAGACCAATAATCTTTGCGTTTGATACGAGCTATATTACTCTTATTAAGGATGGTGTAAAAAATTAATTGACTAAATAATAAGGTTGGGGACGATAGATCCCCACAACTCGTTTGTTAAATGCTTTAATTTTGTATTTTATGTTTTCGAGCATGGGCCGATCGGCTGACCTTGAGATTTCATTTCTCGCCAGGAAAATCCATGGCCCTGATTGGTTGCTGTGTATTTTAGTGTACTATTTTTATAACTCTCCCAAGGACGTCTCTTTGATGTATAAATACACGAGATTTGTGTGCTTGATTGCATTGTGCTTGCTGGGTGTTTATAGAATATACTTTCTACGCTATATCAAGACTTTTCATTAATCAACGGATCAAGGTAGCCTAGCTGGACGCTCGGTTCATTGTCTCGTTCTCGTTTATCGAATAAGGTGAACCCGTAATAGTCTCAAGCATACCTAGTGACGAGCATACCAAATAACTATGTATTTTATCTACTTATGACTTCATTCGAGTTAATAACCTTCCCCAGTTTTACTTCTGAATAATAAAATATGATTACAACTACTCACACGAAACAAACTACAAAAAATGATATTCAATTTTTTCCAAAACTTACAACCTAATTTGCAGCTTGAATTATGAAACACACAGAAAATTGAGCGAAATAAAACTAGAGCACAGTGCTTGAGCGCGCGCTCGTGCACGTTCGCACACGTACATACACACACACTCACATATACACCGCCAATAACCTAAAACGCGCACCAACATAGGCAAGCGAAACTACAAAGACCATCAACCTGTTCATTACTTACAATAGTTATTTGTATATTGTAGCATTAAGGCTAAAATGTTTGTATACTCACTACTTTGAGGAGTGGTTTGTACAAGTTGATCAGTTTGTATGTTGAAAATCATTTTCTCTGATTGATTATGAATAGATCTGTCTAAATGGTAACCGTTTGATTTCGTTGATGTCAGCTGATCTAATTGTAAATTATCATCTATAGAATGATGATGTTCGTTTAAAATATGCGGGTCAATAGTCAATTTTTTATTCATTTGTTCTTTATTCAAATTTGGTAACGTTTCATTGAATACAGCCATTGTTTCCATATTCAATGCACAGACACCACGCATTAATGCTGTTTTTAATGCAGCTTGTTCACCGGCTTGTTTGGCTTTCACGGATTCTAATTCACTTTGACTAACTTTTAGTTTGGCTTCCAGCTAAGCAAGTCAACATAAATACAAAGAAATATTATAGAGAGTAACGAATTAACTGGAGAATGTTAAAATACATGTAACCTCGAAACTAATTCTCTGTGAAGTAAGTACTTTGTTTCTAAATTAACTGACAACTACCTACTCTAAAAATGCTTTGAAAATACATTCTTATACATGTTACTACAGTTAGGAAAATTTTCATTTAAACTGTATCCTATTATAGATAATCACTTTTGTACACCACATATCTCATCTAGAAAAAAGAGTTGTAATCAAAAACCAATGTCCACATATAATCCTTTTAAACTAATGAAGTACTATGATTGATAATTGTGAGTGTTAAGTAGCTTATGACAAATGTAATTTGTGAAAAGATGTCATATAATTTAAAAGGATACTTTAAGAAAAAACTCTTTAAATGACAGTATTAAAATACAAAACAGTGGTTCCCTTTGATAAATTTGAACAGAGAAATGAGAAGACATATTTTGTGAGATAGTACCATTTCATGCTTTCTCGTCAGTCACATTCAAGCAACATGTTATTCGTGCAAATACAGTTTTGAAGATAAGGCCTTGAGATGGTGGAGAAGATTTGTAGCTCAGGTGGATGATTGTGTTGGTGGTGTTTGGTTCTCTGAGCTGGGTGTTTTGATTGTGGAGCTTTCATTGTTCTTCTGCTGAACATCATCAGCACAAACGTCAGATAGAAGTGAAGTATTCGAATTTCTCCATGTTTGACCTGTAGCTTTTTCTGCTAACCTCGATCTTGATTGGTTGCTGTTGACCTTCTATCTGAAGTTTGTGCTGATGATGTAGTTCAGAAGAACAATGAAAGCTCCACAACCAAAACACCCAGCTCAGAGAACCAAACACCACCAACACGAAGATAAGGTCAAAAAAATTTTTATTTTTTTATTTAGCATGACATTCACTCACTAGAACCACGGTAAACAAAGGTCAACATACAGTTGTTTTTGAACACATAAAGTTGGACTTTTCCGACCAATCAAGATAGCTTCGAGTAGTTTGAGTGTGTGTGGGTTTTGATGACATGTCACAACTCTAAAATAAAGTTGTCAAACCTAATGTCAGACGAACTGCGCAAGACCGAGTGTCCTGGGTCCGAATCCTGAGAGGTGCAGAAGTCGTGCGTGCGCAGTGCTGATGATTCCCATACCAGGACGAAACGGCCGTCTTTCAGTGCTTCCAGGTCCCTGATGGTGATCTAACAATGATTGGTTGATGATTTCAAATGTGCAAAAAACACTAATCTCCATAACTCTAATTGAAAAATTGTATTATTGTCAAGCGAACATTGAAATTTATTCAATCATACAAAACTCTGAAGCAGAAACTAGTAGGGATCGATCATTAAGAAGCGTCAATTAACATTTCTTGTTTTAACATCGAGTATAATTATGATTTAACAAAATAAAACTTAATGAGATTTTAGTGTAATAAATAAACTCAATCATTCATTGTTTACTTGAAGAATTTTTTGATTGAATTCTTGCTTCATTTTTATACATTCAGACTGGGCTTCCAAAGTTAATCGTCGAAAATTTCTTTGTTTCCATGATTCTTCCATGTATCGTTTCCATGCTAAAATTGCTTGTCTTAGAATAGTTTGTTTGTAATAACGATCGGCAAGTTTGATACAAAATGACTGGATTAAATAACAAAAAGAAAACAGAAATCAACATTGTAAATTATTACAAGTTTTTTAAATTGTCAGAATGGTATTATTAGTCTGTAGACAACTGAATAGAATATTGAATTATTTCTGATGTAATGTTTACTATCATATTTTCAAATATCTGAATAAATTATCACTTACTTATACATTACAATACATCAAAGTTTTCAACAATTCTTTGAACATAACATACATAATTTAATTTTGTTACGTATGCACGTAAACACATCGTTTGATATGCTTGAACTATTACGAGTTTACTTTAGTCGGAAAATGAGAGCGAGCATCGAGGATCCGGCTACACGATAGGATACTCTAATACGAATGTCTCAAAACTCCCATTGAGTAAAAGAAGAAGACTCGATATGAAGTAGGACGTATATGCTACAAGCATCTAGAAAGTACGAGGTCCGAGTTCAGAAGAGAATCAATAATCCGGACTAGGGATCCGAGTTCGGGTGCGGGTCATGAAATGTTACAGATAATGCGTATTTATACATTTAAGTAGAGTAAGAAACAAAATGGAAGTTAGTAACATTGATAGTTAGGACGTCCAATGGGAAACATCATTTGGAGTGACATCGGCAGTTAGTACGACCAATAGGAAACAACATTTGAAGTATGTGACATTGATAGCTAGGACGATTATAATATTGACCAGTAGGAATCGACCAATAGAATTAGACATACAAAAATTAATTCTCTTAAAATATTTGATGAATGTCCTAACACATTTATTTTGATAGAAAACAATACAAAAATTTAAGAACGTATGTTTGGCATATGAAAATTTGAATATCTGAACAGAATCTTCTTATGATAAGAAGATGGATGAAAAATTACATTTTATGAAAATATTATGAAATCTTATGAAGGCCATTGTCTACCGTACTTTATGCTTTCTCGTAAATTCTTTTCATCTCTATTAATTTTTCACTTCCATTTGAAATTCATTGTATTTACTTGCAGGTGTAGTGAGTGGATGACAAGAAGAGAAAAAAACTGATTATTGGTTATTAGTAGTAGTAGTAGTGTGGTGCGCACAACTTATAAGTAGTATATGACGCGAATAAAAATGTAATGTCTGGCAGCAGAAGATGGGGGAAGATCAAGAAAGGAAGAGCGGGAACACAATAGGATTTGTATGAAATGCATGAACACTGAAATCTCAGACAATTGATTTGTGTTTGCAACAGGAACAGTCCAGTTCGATATGATAGATTGATATTTTGAAAATTAACGATTTACGATATGGTTTTTCTATTTTACCAATCAAATCTGTAATTTTAGATAAATTCAATTCTGTGGCCCTCACCTATGTTGTGCTGAGCATCCTGAAGGAGTTTGAGGCCGTGGCGGAACTGGTGGGGGTGAAGGAGACAAAGGCGAAGTTTGTGGTGCTGGGGACGCTACTGAGAGGTAGGGCGAAGGCCGTATACGGCAGCTTGGACGGTACTGGCGGGTAGACGACGTGGGGGACGGTTACAGAGCGGTTGATGACGGAGTTCGACAGCCCAGTGGACAGGCAGGGGGCGCTGCAGAAGTTCCGGTTGGCGAGGTTGTCGGTCGATGGTGACCCACTGGTGCTGGCTGTGGAGCTTACCAGATAGTTGCGCCGTGTGCTACCGACAACCTCACCAACCGGAAATTCTGCAGCGCTCCCTCCCTGTGCACTGGGCTGTCGAACTCCGTCATCAACAGCTCCGTGACCGTTCCCTCATGTTGTCTTCCCGCCAGTACCGTCCAAGCTGCCGGAACTTTAATACAAAACTTTCAAATGAAAATGAAATCAGAAAATCAACTTATAACCTAACACTTTTAATATCAGTTGCTCAAAGACAATATGTATGATATTATACTTGTTACCAATTAGATTTGTAAACAAGACATGATATCTCAGTTTGTGAGTCAGTAAATTACAAAGTACAACTTCGTACGTAAGTACATCAGTTCAGGCTGCCATACCACATCAGCACAGAGACGCTGCTTTCAGTTCAAATCCAAGAGTGATAGCGACAGTAGAAGTATTAGCAGCAATGGAGAATATTAGGGTTCGAAGATATGATATGATTCGAGAAGTATAATTCAGTAAGATGAATTTAGAAGGAGAAAGGTAGAGATTATGAGGAATACAGAAGCTTAGAATTTCATAGAACACAAAGAGTGGGTGCACCTGGGCCATTGCAAACGATTCTGAGCCATGTCATTCAAGGTCTCTAACCATCGGTGACTATCGTCTCGCGGATCCCAACCAGGTAGTCTGTATCTACCAACATAACTCACTCCACTTGTCAGTGACTTTGTAGTGTGCCGATAACTGCGTGTTCTTAAGCTCGGTTTATAAATCAGAAGATGAACTCGTATTGATGAATACGTTTATTCGAGGCACACCACAAAGCGAAGCGGAGAAGGCTAAGAGCCAACTCTTTCGATTACAATGCGAGCGAATGAGTGAAGCGAATAGGAGAAGGCTGTTGAGCAAACTCTTTGGATTACAATGCGAGCGAATGAACGAAGCGACGTGGAGAAGGCTAGTGAGCCAACTCCAAGAGATAGAACATAACTAAGAATATATAGTCAGATAAGAATAAGACAGACATATGACAAGCGAAATAGGTATGCACACACATGAATAAAAGCGACGAATGATTGACAAGGTCAAAAGCAAGCGATATAAATCATGTGAGTTCATGAGGATATTAAGAGATTAACATTAAAGCGAAAAGTATGAATATGCGCGCAAGTGTAAACAATGTTCAATCATACCAGCGCATACAAACCACACAATAATAAAAGCCAATGGTACATATAAGTTAGTGTTTTACCAATGGCTTGGTTAAATAAATTAATCGAAAGGGCTTAACCAAGTTAGATGTGAGAGAACTGAAATATATGTGGAGGCAAAAACTACAAAATCACACAACTTCATCAACATGGTATCACAAATTAGATCACACTGCTCACTATTTCAACACAATGTGCCCATAGTTTTCTCGGTTTGGCCGCCCTATTATTGTGTTCTTTCCCACCTTTTTTCTTCCTTTCACCTTGGTTCTTTTTCCCTTTTTTTTCTTTTTTTCTTTTCCAACTTTAACCTCCTACAAACACAACTTCTCTTTTCTTCCAAACTTACAGCTTTCTACAAAACCAGATAATATCTACATCTAACTCGAAATGTTTAATGAGTCGTTGTGATGTGTGTCGTATAAGTTAACCAGAAAGTAATGCACTTATACTAAATAAAAAAAAGAAGGAAAGAAAAAAAAAGAGAGCCGAGAATTATCCCTTTAAATTAAAAACTGTAAATGGAGGGAAAACTAACCTTATCATTACAATTGTTTACGGGATGCAAAAAAGAAATTTAAATCAACATACTTACTTTCCCTTTTAGTTAGCTATAAGCATATAATTCTTTCATTCAGATTTCTTGCGAATATCATTTTTCTATTGTGAGCTCTCAATTTGTTGCTAATATTCATATTCCATTTAAAAATGAAAATCCAGATAATCTGTTCTTTTATATCTTTATTCCATTTATTTTATCTAAATCTGTTCTCTTTTCTTATTTTTTTTCCCGGTGCTAATTGTTAGCCTATTGCGTTTTTCATTAATTAAGGAGCAAGCTCCTTCATCTACAAAAACTAATGACCCTTTTTCATGACCATCAATTTTATCATATCAGTTTTTATACTATAAAAGGTAACAAGTAACAAGTTTTTAATTAATGATGTAAATTGATTTTTATAAAAAGGTATGCTACGATATTAAAATACTAATCTTGCGAAAAAATGGCAATCTAACAACTAGTGTCTTTGACTTTCTCACCATCTGATACTATAAAAAAAAAACCCCCCACCATAGTGCTTGTATTGAACTAGCTCACATTTATGTAAGGCAGAGGGAGGGGGGGGGGGGGGGGGGGATTGGGGCGTGGGGGGGGGGGGGGGGGGGTGCAAAAGGGGGGGGCGCGGGGGGGGGGGGAATGGGGGCGGGGGTTATATAGAAGTTGTATCGGATAGATAAAATCGAATTGTAAATGTTAAATAGACAACGTATCATGAAAACTAAAGAGAACCCACAATTCTTTCGGTAATTGTTGATTTAGTAAGTTTGAAAATAAAGATCACATGATTATCTAAAATCTATATGAGTGGGTTGACCCAAATTTGTATGAACGATAGGTTTCAAAATTATGTTAAATAGAATATGAAAATACACTATAGTTATAAAATGGAACTTCAAAAACATAACAGTTTACTAACGAGTATTCAAGCTAACGAAATGTAAAGGTTTAATTATGTACGATTCAATCTTTCAAGATTCCCAGCTACAAAACAAACAATAGATTATTTGCATTACGGGTGGTTGAAAGATGGTTAAGCAAAAAGTTTTATCGACGTTTGGTTTTTTGAAAAACCATTATATCGGATCAAATGTGTTTTGGGGTTTTTTGGTTGGGTGTGTTGGCTTCCCTTTAGAAACCCCCACCTGCAAAGCAGCTGGAGCACTGTACGGACGGGGAACTCGCAAGCACTGGAGCACGTGCCCTTTAGTTCTTTTTTTATTTACTTCCATATTCGTTCGCGTTCGCGCGTTCGTTTCTTTTTTTGCGTTCCTGGTATATGGAGGACACTCCTCAAAACAGTGGCACATCCACGACTCCTGCACCCCAGCATGATTAGAAAACCAAGACCTTCGATAATTTTGTGCGCCAATACCTAGAAATGTGTTTACCTTAGAATACTTCTTCACCTTCATTCACTCTTCCAAAACGGAAAACACAGCAAACCTGCCTCGTAATGCAAATCACTGCTATGCTTCACGTTATTGACTAGCTCTTCGTGAGGAGTATTCTCC